CTCAGCTACGGAAGCGACCCAACTCCTACACTCCTTCCAAAGGACCTGACAGTCATGAGTACGGCGCACACCACACTTTCTGCCTCCAGAGTTTACTGAGGGAGGCAGCAAATAGAGACATACAGCTTGACAACTACACTACCCTCAAGTTTCCTTTGCTGGTTATAGAGGAAGGAAGCACCTCACTGAAGTAGCATGTGAGCTGCAGAGAAGACTAGGAAGGACAGTGAGCATTTACTTCTAAAATAATCCAGCAGGTATATAGGCAGGGAAATGGGCTGTGGCTACTAGGGAGGATGTAGCAGTACTGAGCAAGTGCTAAAGTTACCCAGGTCACTAGGTAAGTAAGTTCTCACTGGAAGCTAAAGGAGCCCAACCAAAACAGAAGCAAATGCAAACAGAGCAAAGTGCTTTAAAAATAAGAATCCTTCCAGCTCCCAAATCAAAGTGCTTTAAAAATAAGAATCCTTCCAGCTCCCAAATCAAATTGCTTTTAGATTATTTTTGCCTTCTCCAAATAATTTCATATTTATTCAAATATATCAAGGAAATACATGCAACTAGGATTATTTATAAGCCTTCCGAAAGGCAAAGAGATGTAGTAGGCACCTAACCCAAGGACAGCAAGACACCTCTTCACTCACACTGAGACGCTGTGCGCTCCCCAGGAGTTCCCGAGAGAGAGGGAGACMGAGACAGACCCAGCCCAGCTGAGTCTTCCTGCACCGGCTTCTCCACTCCCTCTGCCACTCCATATGGGACAACCAGGCTGACAAGCTCATCCCTCTCCGCCCACTCTTCCCAGGAAATAGCGCATTTGTTTTCTACTCCTTACTTATGTCTGTCCTCTAAAGTGGTATTAGGCAACACATAAGCAAATGGCCACAAGAGAAATTATTTAAATTTGAAGAGTTCACACARTCCTTTACAGTTGCAAAGATCACAGTCTCATCATTGAAGCAAAAAGAGAGCCACAAAAATATTACATAGGAATGCTGGRCTTAACACAATGACTACCAGGGAGAAAGGCACCCAGCAGACACACTGTCCTCTCAGCAAAAGCTGAGTTGCAGCATTTTCCATCAAATTTGACCTTTCTCTACATCGCTCCAAGAACTGGATTAATTAAAAGAAAAATTCAGTATGATAATTTTCAGAAGGAAAACACTGAGTTTAGTTGTGTTGGGTATTTATGTTTATCTATTTTGGAAGCGGTATARGAAGCAAACAAAATCATAATGATTCCCAACCGACATAAGAGAGCAAACTACATTCAGGGTTTAAAATCATTTTAGAACAAGAACTGGTCAATCTACCCACTAAACTGCACTAAGCTGTTTCTCAGATTTAGGTATCATCCATATTGCTACAAGGAAAAAGAAATAAAGTACATGCACATGAAAGGAATTGCAGTAAAAATACAGAATAGAGTATAATGGTTGCAAATATGCTAAAATCAAAARGAAACACTGTAAGATGGAAAAGAAATAGGGGACAATAGTAACTTAATGGGAAAATTTGGGATAGTGGTTCCAAGTGGTGTCCACAGAGAGCTGCTATTCACTCTGCACTAGCTCTCCTCATTTTCAGCTGCTAAGTTCACACTGAAATAAGCTAAAAATACACAAAATATTTTCAAATATTACTTTCCCATGTAAGCAACTGGTATAAGTTACCACAGAGATGTTGTTCTCTTGCCAGTGAGAGGGGAAATAGTGCACAGCATTGACAACAGGAGATGCATTGTATGAAATCTATTGCCTTTGACAACATACAACCCAAAGCACGGAAAGTCTGAGAAGGCTACAAGAATTCCTGACTATTCCCATACTTTCCAGCAACACAATATGTAATAAAAAGCCATTAAAGCCAAGATTTACCACATCTGAGAAAAGGTACAGCCTGTATTCAGAATTACAATACAGGTAGCAAAATTTCTAGCAATCAAGCCKTAGTGTTTCAATGAACAGAAGAGCAGAGCAGGGGAGGAGAAAAATAATAAAAATAAATAAATAAAAAGAATGGAGTATCTCTACATTTTGGCTATATTGTCCCCTGACACACTAAAACTAYACAATGCTGTATTTAAAACAGAAAAGGTTGCTGCTCAGCATTCATGGCTCTCCTTAATAATACAGCTCTGTATGACAGTAAAAGAGGAAATATATACCAGAAAATATCCAATTATTTCTGCTAAAGTGAAGTAAAACAGAGTTTTTACAACACAAATCCCCCTGAAAATAGCAGTGATTACACTGCTCATCTCCTACCCTCCTCCCAACTTGGCTTCTTGACACTTAATATTCTGACTGCTGGGAAAAGATCCAAAGTTTACACAGTCTGTATGAGTCTTTCCATTGCTCTGAATGCAAACCAGAGAATATGGAATACAATGATACCTTGCAAAGCAAGTAACCATTTTTTACAATACTAATTCCACTTCTACAGACTAGTGTGGCAGAATTTTTTATTATCATTATTTTTATTAAAAAAAACTCTGCAATCTTCAACTTTCCAGTTTGGAAAGAAGCTTCAAGTTGCAATACTGATAATCTGCCTGCTACAAAGTGTTAAATGTCAGCAAAATGTTTTCTCTTTCAAACAGGCAAGGAGATTAAGTAACCTGTTCTCTTTGTGGGGATGAGTGGGGCAAGTGCTAAGAGTGCAGCTGCTGCAGAAACAGCAGCCCCCTCGGAGCCTGCACTGCCTCTTACTRCAGGCTCTTCCATTTCGCTTCTTCACCGGATGGGACAAACTGCACCCTGAGCCTACTGCAGTTATCTAGACATCCTGCAACATTTTTGCAATATTCTACTCAAGTTCCCACTTAATTAAATATCTTGGCTGTTACAGTCCCTAAAAAATACTACTGAAGATAGTATTTTTGAGGATTAAGAGTTCTGTAGTTTTCCTCCACATTATGTGACTTCACATTTGAGATTGATTGCATTCCTATTACTCAGTCATGATTTATTTTACATGTACAACCTCTCATTGAAATAAAAGACAAGGTGGACTGGGATTGTAATCACTTTAAGTAGCYTATATTAATAAGGAATTTATCTTGATGAAACAGAACTTACGAGTGAAATAATTAACAACACTTCCGGGCAAAGTACAGGTATACATTTTACTGGAGAATTGTGTCTGGCTGATGAATTTATTTTGTAATGTTTAACTATAACAGGAAATAGATGAAATTCAAATGAAAACACTGTTTAGGCTATGTCAACAGAGCATAAAACTAAATGAAGTGATTCCTTATTGACTATAAAAATATATTTGCTAATAGTAAACTTACTAATGGTTATCTATCAAGATCACAACAGGAAATAATTTTCTATCTTAAAAACTGTGCTAAAGCAACAGACACACACAGTTAAATGTATTTTTTGTTTTTGCAAAACAGTAACATGCAGTGCATTTTATTGTTTTTTTTTTTTTTTTTCCATTAGTGTAGATAGTTCAGAATAGAAAAACTCCAGTTCCTTCTTTAATTGCAAATCACCAAAAGGCTTTCCAACAAGCTAGCCAATGCTCACTTTACACTTGCTAGTAAAAGAGAAGCAAACAGTATCCTAAATACTGAAACAACTCCTTTGTTACAAAGGGAGGGATTCAGAAAACTAAAACAAATAACTGCTTTAAATACAAAGACTTTTACACTCAGTACAAAGATTTACACATTCTCCTACAACATACTGAAGTTTTATATTCATCTCCACAAATCAATCCACTAATAGGCATCAGTCATCAACACCTAAGTAAAGATCTGCCATTTGAAACAGCTTTGATGTGATTGAAGACTCGCACACAGTCATAAGTATGACAGAACAGCTTAGCTATTAAAATGTTTTATCTGGCAAAGAACTGTTCATCCTAATTGACTGAAATACTCTTTGAACACTAGTATTGCAAGGCTACTTCACTACATGGTGCTTTAGAACATAACCACTTGACTTATATCTAGAGATCCAGCACAAGCACATCAACCCTTATTAGAATATTCTCTCACACATATTTTTGTCAACAGACCGAAACAATAAAACTGACTGCCATTTTTACTACTAGTTCCTTCGTTCATTTGATACTGAAATGTACTGGGCTTTATTACAAAAGCTGCATGCAATCAGCTGTTTCTATCAATCTTTCTTTTTAGTGCACTAATAGAATGAATCCTGCTAACCACATCAGTCGAGATCAGTCGGCAGACCTGTACAGCAGCCCTTCCTCTGCGTTCAGCCTGACCTCTCACTGCAAGAGGTGCCTTTGCAGGGGCTCCTTTAAGCCGCGCTGCACAACCCTGGCATCACTCCAACACTGACCRTATGTCAAACTGACAGACCACAATCCTGGGACAGCCTCCCAGAAACAGCTGGGTAAGGCCCAGGCCACAAGGTAACAAGGTTTTCCAGGCCCATGTCGTTATTCATTTCAAAGCAAATTTTAGAAACAGTGCACGTGAACACACCTGACAAAGGAACTATGACAAAAGGAATCCTTTCCAAAGCATACAGCATGGCATACTCTGTTTCAGTAGGTTTTCACTCAATGTAATTGATCACCAAAAATACACTCAGAAGATTAATAACAGTTTGTCCCGTTAACATTTTTCTTTCTCCATTATACTAACAGCATGTTAACAATTTGCAAGAAAAAGGAATCAAGCATAAACCAGTAACTGCCACCAAGATTACATTTTGCAGAATCAAACAAAACACTATTGATTTAATACCTCGAGTTGAAGGATGAATTGATTTTTACCATGTATCTATTAACACATATATTTCAGTGCTGTTTTTACTATTACTTCTGTTATCAAAAGTATACCGTATCATTTTTTGTGTATAGGTAAAGATGCTACCTAACAGTTTTTATTCCAAAATTACTAATTTGCACTAATTACAAGTAATTGGTACAATAGAATAGCCAAAGTTTACCCAGTCCTCTATGCAGTTTCTCCAAGTATTCCAATTTTTTAAAAAAACATATGAACTTACCTACAGTTTGGAGGAGGGTCTAATGTGATTTCTGCAAGTTCTTTCTGAATTCTTAGGAAGAAAGAAAAAAAAAGAAGTTATCAGGATTATTTCTTTTACAATATGTTTCCTTCAACTTTACAAAATATTTCTAAAGCAATCAATAACAGTAAAATATAATTTTCATTTGCAATGGAAACCTGATTCTATAAAGTTGCACACAACTGTTCAAGAAAATGTCAGACTAAACCCAGATTCTAAAATCCTGTCTGAAAAATAAGCCTTCAATCTAGAACAAGTTGTTCCATGAACAGCCATCAAATAAACCCTGAATTTTTCTTTAAGTCAGGGTACTAAGTTCGTTTGCTCACTTACACAGCCATTGTTTCACAGACCCCCCTCCTTGGCCCATGTGCCTCAGGCTCTGTCCTTTGTTCTCCAGAATTCAGTTTCTTACATCCCTTAAAATGGGCAGGSTAAAAAAACAATAAACCACCTCACTGAATTATAGAACAACTTGGGTGGAAGAGAACCCAGAAAAACTCCAGTGTCTTGCTCAGTGTCCTGCTCAAAGCTGAATCTGCTGCAAGATCAGACCAGGAGATCAGGTTCTCCCTTATTTCATTTTATGTCAGGTGTCTCTCATCCTCCATTCACGCACTCATATAAAGCACCTGGTTCCATCTTTTCATTAACTTTCCCTAAGGTTTGCTGGAGGGTCTCACCTTGAGCTACCTCTCCACAGCCCCATGGCCAGCACAGGAGCCCTCCACTGGGCTTGCTCTAGTTCAGGTCCTTGTGTGGAGGGCCCCATATCTAGATACACTATTCCAGCTGTGCTCTAATGAGCACTGAGCAAAGGGAGATAACCACTTTCCTCTGTTTACTGACTGTGCTCCTGTTGGCAGAGCTCAGGCTGCAGTCGGCCCTGGCTGCTGCCAGAGCACATGGCTGGCCCCGCTCCGCTCGCTGCCTGCCAAGAGCCCCACGTCCTTCGGAGCGTATCTGCTCCACAGCTGGTTGGTCTCCTGCCTGCGTGGATACAAGTGGTTGTTCCTTCCCAAGCACAGGGCTTGATGGCTGCTGAATGTTAGGCAGTCCTTGTCAACCTCTTCTTGCAGTCTGTCTAGGCCCTTCCAAATGACAGCCCTGCCCTTACACCTACAGACTGTTGGCTTCTACAAACACATTAAGAGGGCACTCGGACTTCCTCCAGGTTACTGATACAGATGGCAAACTGGACAGGACCATGATCCCTGCAATGCTATATTTCTTAAAAGTGTTCTCACAGTTACTCTGCCCGGGGCTCCTAAGTTGTTAAAATATCTTTCAGACCTTCCAAAGCTTATGCTCTTGTGCCAAGCGGTGTAATTCCTGCCCCCTGTCACATCTGGCAACACAGTCTCTTTTCCTTCGCACCAACACCTGCACAAAAGTCAGCACCTCCCCCTTTGAGGAAATTTAAATGTGTAGAGGAAGAGTTTACAAATGCAATATGGTCAGAAGTTGTCAGACCCCCTAAGCAAGAGTATTGTGGCCACATTCCCAATGAACCTTATTGTGCCCAATGCTTTATTTTAGGTTAATTCAGTGCAAGAACAACATTTGGGAACAGAGAGGAAAGAAAAAAGATTTAACATATCCTCAATATTTCCCCCTCTCCTGCACAAGATTTCACGTGTGGGAGCAGCTTACTATTCCTTTTATTCCCCACACTAAGAGAGAAAACCTGCATAATAATAGAGCTCAAATTCCTGGGACAGATGCTAAAGCCACAGCACAAGAGCTCAGGCCCAGCCTCCAGGATGCACATATCTTGCTAAAAACCACTGCCACCCACTTCGCACATAGACACAGGCACAAAAACTGGTATATCAAAATAAACATTCAGATGTATTGGCGCACATTACAAAAATGAGCAGTTTACTCTGATTTTCTGTGTAATGTTCAGATCCAAATACAAATTTATCCACTAAAGAGTCTCATAGCCACTATCAAAATTCTCCTTATGCCACTACGAGCTGATTTTATGATTGTAATGAATAAATGAATGAAAGGTAGAACAGGAATAGGACCAAACAAGAAATTTCACTCCTTTACCCTTTTTAATCTGGAAAATAATTTGTAGGGAGAGGTAATAATCTTTTATTAGTCCAACTGCTGTGACTCAAAAGATAGAAAACAATCTTTCAGACACTTTATCTTTTCTTCCAACCTCTATCTGCCCTGACTATATGCATTTATACAGAGGGACAGGAATTTATTTGCTTATTTTATTCATTGAAATATTTACATCTCCAGTAATCTTTTTTTTTATTCTTTCCATACATGCTGCTTAATGAAGTCTAAGCATAACAAACACTATGGTTAACAAAAGAGAAAATTTAAAAAATACRTTTTATCTTTTAAAAAGAAGATTTTAGAGTGTAGCAGATGCTTAAAACATTTCTTCTTTTCATGACAAAGTAAAACTGTGATTTTTAAATGTATACTATCACAAAATCAAAATAGAAAAAAACCTAAGTAATATGGAATCTCCTTCAATTTAATAGTTTGCAAGTTAGTTTGCTTTTTCCACTACTGGGGAAGTTTCAGAATGCTGACATTGGTATTCTACAGAGTCATGGATTACTCCTTTGCTTTAAGCTCTACATATAATAATAACAGCTGTTAATATTTCATTACATTACAATRAATGTGAGACATATTGAAAATGGATTGACAATAAACGTAGCTTACGTCCTAGATCAAAAACTTTCCTTCTTTTTAAATTCTGCTCCCTTTTCCCAGTTTCCTTTTCAGGATTGAAAAAGTTCTAGATACAGCTTTCCCTGGGACTGAGTAGACAGGGAAGCCAAACAACTTTCTTCGTTAAATGATAAAAATTAAATTAAAAGTCTCTTACTTTGTATTTGTGTTCAAAAGAAAAAATTGTTCTTGCAGGCAATACATAGATGTTTCATTCACAATTATTTTCATACAAGCAAGCTAAAACATATTAATATAACAATCAATTGCTCTTCAGTCTCTGGCAACCCAAACTGAAAGCGATACCTGCACCTTACTCCTGTTTCGTTAAGAGTAAGCTGCTTTAATTCACCTTGCATTCACGCTGAGAGCACATTCAGAAACAGTTTCTGCAAAGCAGCTGACATGCAATAGCTTGCTCGCATGTCACAGCACTCAAAGTCACAATTAAAATCACCAAATAACATCCCAGAGAGCCTTGCATTGATAGAGATTTCCAAAGTGCAAGCCGGCCTTTGTTGGAAAGAGCTGCTCCACTGCGGCTCTGCATCTCCGCGAGCTGCCCTCGGAGCCTGGCGCGGGGGAGGATGTGCCTCATTTCCTGCAGTGACCACAGAGGGCTCGCCCGAGAAGAACACGCGGCCTCTGGCAACAAACAGTTTTTGTAGCGTCCTTTCTSGATCTTTTTCTATGGCTTTTCTGGCTCAGGACAGCCACTTTTAATCGTGTCAGGGAGTAAAAGGGGCTCTTATTTTTTTATCCATTTTATATTTACACTAATGATACACTGGCTTAGTATGCTACTATATTATTGGGGAGAGAAGGGACGAAGAAATATTCGCTGGTAATCAAAGCCCTGGGCTGTACACACAGGACATTTAATTTGCACTGTCAGGTCTGATGCTCTTTGTTTAGTCTTAGAGAAACCATTTGACCTCTCCCTCTCTCTCCCTCCTCTTCCCTCCCTTACTCTACTTTACTAATGGGAATGAACAAACATACTTGCCTTCTAGTAAAAGTGTAAAGGTTAATCTATCTCTAAATTCTGAAGCACAAAAGTACATTGTGCATTTCAAACATTATTAATTCGCACAGGCACATGTTTACTACTGTTCCAAGCCTAGGGGTTCTGTCTGCTGTTTCTCCATGAAATAGTTAAGAGTCCCTAAAGCTAAGGGAGAACTTAATGTGCTAAGAGGATTTTCTAGTATAATTAACAGGAAAACAAACAAACAAACAAAAGTATTCTTCCACAATAAGCTAATTTTACAATATTTGTTTTTCTAAAAGAAAACCCTCAATTGTTAGGTGAACCTAAAATCCAGATCGTTTTTTTACTATTTTATAAATAACATATTCTTCTATAATTGGTATGTATTTCAATCTTTTATAGATTGTTATTTTGCAGGAAACTGATTTAAAGATGGTTAGATTTATGCTGAGGAAGATAAATATTTGCCTTTAATATTAGATACACGTATGAGTGACAGGGCTATTTTCGAAAAAAAAAAAAAAAAAAAAAAGTCCTGTCATCTTTAACACATATCCAACAATTATTATCTGATTCCTTAAAAAGAGTGCTAAAACGTAATACCTCCATTTTATTTTCCTACATTTCTAACAAATGAAATTCACTATTTAGCTGCTACTCCATAGATTATAATTTCAGTTTAACAAAAAAAAACTTCTTTATATAATTCACAATTGAATGAGGATACAAGATTAAAAAAAAAGAAAAAGAAAGAAAGAAAGCCAGGCCTGGACCCAAAGGTTGATAGATTTTAAACTACCAACATCGGGAGCCCAGCAAAACAATACATCTATTTGTCGAGCTCCTACGCTGGCCAAGAATGGTTACACTTCTCTCAATTCAAAGGTCATTCTAAGATTTGCTACTTAAAAGGTAACAAGACACCTGCTGTTTTCAAGGACAGCAATTCAATTCCATGTCTGAACTGTAATTGTGATATGCAGTGAGTTTCTCAATCTTGACATCTTAGGTAAGAAAGGTTGCTATTTAAGGTGATGCCCTCTGGGTGAGGAAAAATGAAGGACTGGTACACTGTATGACATATGCTGTAAGATATAACACCTGTAAAGCAGCTCTCTCTCGTAGCATTAGCACAGAGGAACTGCATATGACAGCATTCTGCCTTCCTGATTTCCCTGTAACAACACTAACAGGGAATAGATAGATAGATAGATAGATAGATAGATAGATAGATAGATAGATAGATAGATAGATAGATAGATTTTAAAAGCAAATCATTGCTACTTATATAGTAATTCAAGTATAGATAGATTTTAAAAGCAAATCATTGCTACTTATATAGTAATTCAAGTATCTTCATATATCCTTCCACAGTCAAATCATTTTGCAAAGCATTAAATTGCAGAAGTATTAGATACACCATTGAAGATATAAATAAGATACAGAAGTGAGTGCACCGTTAAATCCTGATTTGCTAAAAGACAGCATTAATGAAAATTCTTTAAAAGTAACTCTTACTAATTGATTATAAGCATACAGGAACAACAACAAATCAGAAAAGAGTATTCCAACTACAAATGTATGACTCAATTTAATTCAAGATACTCTCTACACAGCTTTAATATAAATGAAAAGTACTATAACTACAATTCCGGGTACAATTCAAGATCCAATTCTAAGGGTTTACAATTGTGAAAACTCTGCATTCAAACTCATATTAGAATCAAATCTTCAGTCCAAATGCCCCAGRGAAAGATTTAGCTGCAGTGCCACATCCCCTTACTGGTATTACAGTGCCAACAGACAGGGCTCAACATAAACTAAGGCATCTTGACCAAAGTCCCAAATATCATACACCGCCTTGTTGCAGATTTTTGTAGCTGACTGCCCTAACGGTAACACAGTTATCAGAAGCCACTGCAAAATGAAACACTTGTCTTTGTTAAGTGAACATTATGAGGATTCTACAGTAATACCATACAACGTCACAGAATTTAACAGCTGATAGAAGAAAAACTCGCCAAAAGTATAATAAAGTTTTTCACTTAGAAAAGATGAATTATCTTAAATTGTTTCAATTAAAAAGAACATTTTTAACCTGGCTAATAGAATTTCTAATGAAGAACTACAGCCTTATTTCTGCAACAGATTTCATTTCTAACCAAAAAAGCCCTCTTAGTCCTTAATATGTGATAATACATTATTTTTTTCTGTAATATTAGTCCTCTCCCTTTAATCCTAAACTTTAATTTGAGGGTTTTATTTTCTTGAGGCATTACTGCTTCTAATTGAAAAAAAGAAAAACCACCTAAAAAACAAAGTCAACTGTAATAAAAACCTAGTCAGATTAAGAATGATTACAAAAATGTCATCCTAACACTAACAATTTAATACTGGGTTTAGATGGAATATAAAAAAAAAATTACTGTGATTTTTCTATAAATAGTGCTATGACAATCAATGCTCCTAAAATACTTTCTTCAAAAATATTACTTACAGTGTACATATCTAAAGCACTCTTAAAATATTTTTATTTTTTAAAAAAATCTSCATTTTTAAAAAGTATAATCATAGATTTCTATGTCATATTAGTACATACTTGTACACCTTTGTTTGAGAGTCTAACTGACAAATGTACTGTTGTCAGCAACTGGCATAATTAGTTTCAGCAGAACCATAAGCAGATATGATTAAACTTTAAAAGGTTTAAGTAATTTTATCACTGCAAAATGCATGTTGATATAAGCTCTAAGCTTTGAAGACACAAAGCTAATCTTAACAGACTAATTTCTGACATATCATTATTAATTTTTYAATAGGATAGTGTCCACAGGCCCTTGCAGATTTGTAGCATCATTATATTAGACATTGTACAAAGTTCACAATACATAGACTCTTTTCTAAAGACGTTAAAAACAGAAACGGGGCTTGATGGTTTTAGGAATATTGAACTAGATAGGACTTCTAGTACTAAAATACATATAGGAAGCAGAGGAAAGAGAACAGGGTCAGAAAGGATAACAACTACAAGGACTAATTATGTGCATAACTTCATGGTTTGAAGTGAGGTTTTTTGCACTTTTTAGTCATAAAAAGAAATATTGCTAAGATCTGCTGGACATCCTGTAACTGATATAACTAGGCAGTCTCATAATAGTGTCATGGTAGGCATGYTTCTTGAGAAAGCATTTTACCAAGGAAAATAATAATAAAAAAAGCTTACATGGCTTACACAGGTAAGGCATTAGTGTCTATGACTAAAGAAAAGCATGAYGACTCCTCAGTGGAAACTGGAAGAGTGTTCAGGGCAGAAGAAAAATGTAAATGGTAGGATTAATCACAGATTAAAAAAAAAGATCTTGAAAAGATGCAGGTAAGCACACTTACACTGGTATTGACAGCCTTCTACCATGTGCGTATGTTATAAATTACGGCAATAAGGCCTTAATCCTCCTCTTTTATCATAATGACATACTCACACAACTCCCATGGTTTCCCCGACTCCCGTGGTCAGTTTACATGGATTTAAGATYCAGGAACTAGGCTCTGGTTAGCTTCTTTTAAAAGTATACTTCAACTAGTTCTTCATAATAGCATTTAAATTCTGCGCTCTGGACTAATACTACTGTCTGTACTGACAGAGCAACACTCGCCTAACTGCTTCGTCTTTCCAGCCTGAGCATGACAATCATTATCTGGAAATGGGCATGCTAGGATAGAATAACTTGAATAGCCTTTCTCCAAATATGTATTTTCTCTCCAGCAGAAAGAAAAAGGATATGAAAACAGACTATGGTTTAAACTAATGAAATCAACATATATTTGTTGTTCACTCAAATATTTCTGACTTGACCATCTGGGAAAAAGAAATACAGTACTTTACATATAGCAATAGGTACTACAGTAGTCTCTTAAGACRCTGAGTTAGTGAACTGTCTGAGATGTTTATGGTTAATTAACTGTAAGTTACACTGACAAGTTTCAACATCAGTCATACATAAACATACAGAGATATATTTTATAAGGCTACAAAACTGTCTGAGTTTTACTAGCAATAAAAAAATGTCAGCTTTTATCATGCAAGCTACTATTAAAACCACGTGAAAGAGAGCCAATCCGTCAAGAACAGAAAAAAAGGACACAGGTCTCATTACTGCGACTAGCCTCCAAAGACTATTTTGCTGACATAACTGTGCTGTAATAAAACAATAAGAAAATGAATAAAGTAAATCAATATACACATCTGATGGCCAGCTGAAAAAGGAGAGAGGGGGGAAAAAAAAGCAATCGGAAAGATCATCCTACCTTTTAGCACTGGTTGACAGTTTAGCGGCTGTTTTGCTTGATATTTTGCCCTCTTTTTTCTTGGGTTGAACTTGCTCCCTTTCTTGTTCCTGCTGAACACCTTCACGCTGATCTCCATCAGAGCTGCCTCCACTAGTGCTTGGACTATCATCAACTCTCTGCCCYTCTGTAGACATGGCAGATGCTGCACTAAACATAAAGAAAAAAGAGAAGTTAAAGCTTTTTCAGAAGCAATCGCCTGATAATATTTTTTATATCCTAAGGAAATAAAGCAAAAGATTTTGCTTAATCAATAGAGCAATATAGAGAAATTAAACAAAACAAAAAAGCAAAAAACACAAAGATATGTAACTATTTCATCACTATGCCACCTGTTCAAAATAAAAATAGTTTGTTAAAAACTAAGARCTACTACTATCTTAACAGTCTCTGTTTTCCCATATGAAATAAATCTAYGAGCTCTTTCCAAGTGTATTGTGTGGGTTTCCACATTACAAAATTCACATCTTATTTGACATRCTTGATGGAAACATTCATGAAACCAAACTGTACTAACACAGAACTGTTTGCTTTTATTAAAGCAGCACCTCTAGGATGGTAAACACACTGGTGGAAGATATAAGGAAATATTCTTCCAATTAAATCAGTTCAAGCGACATCAGGCAACAAAGCTGTCAAAGAACACCAGCTACAAGACTCTTYCTTATGTTTCGTTAAGTCAAGCTGATACATTTTTGCACACTTTAGATACTAGTTAGCTATTTTCATTTATTACTTAAAAATGAATGAAGGAACAATATGCCGACAGGAGAAGAATTACAAATGCATTGTTACAGCTGTCATAACTTCTCTAACTATTCTAACGAAAGGCAAGTGTCCACAAAAAACTCGTTGTAAATTAGCAAATGTGATGGCAAGGACTGTTTGAAAAAATTAGTAAAAGCAGAAAGTCTCTTCTTTAACTCCAAATCTACAGCACACATAAATACTTTATATGTCCTCCTTTAAGAGATTTTAAGAGGAGAACCACCTTCACAGCACACAGGGCCAATCGTTCCTCGCCTACATGCAACCCCCATGTATCTGGGAGGTTTTTGATAGAATCAATCCAAATCAGTAATTTGCTCTTTCATACACAAAGAGTTTTAAATTGCTGTTAACTTCAACGTGCTTATTCTTTTATCTCACATACAGATGCCATCATGTTTAAGAATAAAATTGTTCCCCTTAAAAGTACACATTTTAACACTTCACACATAAAAACAAAAGGATTGCAGGCTCAGATTTAACCACGTTCATTTACTAGATTAGGTTCATCTCTCTGCATATATTTATGGAAAGAGACAGCAAAGAAAAAGAAAGTCACAACAGTATCATTGAGGTTATGTTAAAAAACATACTTTTGAAAAGGCCACTTTTTAAAAAGGCCATAATCTTTCTCACTAGAGATGCATATAAGAAAAATAAATGTACTCTTCTCTTGAAAAGCCTTACTAATATTTCATACTATCAAACAGTATACACTTTGGAATGGAAGAACCAATATTTTCAGGCATTAGTCACGCAACTCAAACCAACTGACCTGAGTAGGAACTAAATCTATTTTGTCTAATTTATGAGGCTACACAGAAAGGAAAAGAAAAGCTGCAAGTATGAAATACACTCAAAATATTTTAAAAGTATAGAAAAWAGCAAGTGATGGATGTAGAAATAAGTTACTCTTAATTAACTTAAGCTACATTGGGGTTTCAGTAAAAAATCATGAATATATATTCATATATAAAAACATAACACCTAGGCCGCTGAAGAAATAATGTATAGTTTGATTTGTAAAATTCAAGTGCAAAATAGCTTATTCTTAATGGGACAACATAGCTACAACAATATATTTACCATTATTCACATATTTACCCASGTGAATTCTATATTTACATTCTCCTTATCAAATGTTAAGATAAATGAAAAAGAAGACTTAAGAGATAATAAAAGACAGAAGTACCATACTCTGAATATGAGATATGAAGAATATGAATTTAATATTTAAAAAATAGAATGGAATAACTATAATGCAAACTGGAAAGCAGGCACCTGCTTTATTTGCTTCTATATACAATAAAATACAATCTATTTTTTAAGTTTTTTTTTCTTATGGTCTTTATTTACTCCAGATTCTGATGTTCGGTTATTACATCTAATTTTAAACAGAAGATTGCTGTTACAATGTACCTATTATTTAGCACTGGTGGCCAGAAAGTTAAAAGCATATATAATGAAGCCTGTATACATAGACATCTGCTGTGAATAACCTCGGCCATAAATATTGCTATTATCCAAAAACAACTGTATTTACTTCATAAGTTCAGGTTACTATCCAGCAGATAAATACTGTAACAGTAGCCCAGAGCATATAATTACTGTAACATGTAATGTCACTATATACATCAGGGAAGGGCTGAAATCTGTCATTTGATGTCTGCCTAGTTTCTTATTCTTTCTGTCTCACAGCTTTGTGTCTCTCCCTCTGGTCCCCTTTCTGACATCCTGAGCCAATTCTTCCCATGCCCTTCCTTCCTAATGTCGGCACTTTTACCTATTTTGCCTAGTTCAACGTTCAACACTGCGATAGAAGCGTGCTTTAAAAGTCCTCGAGCTAGGCACTTCAATTGCGGTCAAACTTAGAAAACAAGCACATGAACAAATAAAAGAATGGAAAAAAATAATCAACCGGGGAATGACACTGTCGGAAAACATTTCCATGCAATCAACACAGACAAACGCGAGATATTTCTTGACTCTAGACAGCCATAAGTGCGTTTGCAAGTGTCACATAGCGTAAGAAGAGAAACGTGACGTCCAGCTCCCCGGGCTGCCCTGCATCCACATGGGGGTTTTTAACCTTCCTGCCGATGTGCTGGAAAAACTGGGGGTGGGGAGGGGGGGAAAGGGACTTAAAAGTCCTTCCCTCAACATGAGATGATTCAGCATCAACACAGACAACTCTAAGGAGACTGTAAATTTTAAGTGAAGAGCGTCCAAGAGATCCCACTACTGTCATATGTATACATACATACACGTATGTGTATGTGTGTGTATACATACATACATCCACCGGCACCCTCCCTTCTCAAAGGGAAAGGAAAATAAATAAATAACTAAAAGAAGACGGGAAGCCAGGCAAAGAGAGCTCCTGGCGGCGCGGACGGGTCCCAAGGGCGGCAGAGCCGGGGATGATGTCTTTGCGAAGCGGTCTGAATTCCCGACGGGCACGGACAGACCGGGTATCCGCGCGGGTCCCCCCGCGAGGGGCAGCGGCCTCGCTTCACCCTCACGGGCAGCCCGTGGGGGGCAGAGGGGACCGCGGCACCGCGGGGGGGTCACCCACGGGCGCCCGGGGGCGGGGGGGAGCGCCCGCTGCCCCGGGGGCGCGCACACGCACAAAACACTCACCCGTTTCCCCGTGGGGGAGGACAACGGGGACGGCGACACTTCCCAGAGGCGACGCTC